TAACGGTGCGGTTGCAACTCCACTAATGCACTGAAGGTGTAGGTCTCCCAAATACAGGTTACAAATAGCCAACTTTGGACTTGAAGCGTTAGGTCTAAATGCTTGCTTATAAAGACTAACCAGTTGCTTTATGGGCCTGAGCATACCTTAAACGACTAGTCGCGGCGCTATTTGGCAACACTTCAGTTGTTCAAAAATCATCGTAAGGGGGTTTATCAATGTACGGAAGATAAGGCATTCTATCAACCTACGAAAGCCATACATACTGTGCATTTGGGTCTGCCAATATAGAATTTGAAGACATCTGGCAAACTGCTAGATTGAGTGATTACTGTAATCGCGTGAGTATGCCCATGCCTTTGGTTCATAAATGACCCACTAGAAACCATTTTCACCTGGCAGTTTATGTGAGTGGGTTGTAAATCTATTAGAAAATGTACATCCGTCAATAACATATCATATATTAAGGGTCACGCATTTTCTGCTACGATGTTGAACGGCGTCAGATCTGTTCGTCGCTTGATATCAGGAAGGTGATGCCAGGTGTGTACAATAGCCATGCTTGCATATTCCGTTTAGGTTTTGGACAGACGAAGTTTTTGTTATGATGTGGTTAGATATGCCAACACTCGATATTGCATCTGGCAGTTCAGGTAGCGAAACAATCCACACTTTGGATGTCGAACTAGCTGAGGAGAATGTGGTGACGTGCCTGGCACTGCTCGAAAGCACAGAAGGTGCTCAGCTATATGTAGGGACCAGTCAGGGTTTGCTTGTTGTCGCAAACGCTTTATTGGTGAGTCTTGTTACTGATATACTCTCGTCTTTCCCACTTATGTCATGCACTCTTCAGATGCAACCACTTTCTGCATGTAGACCTTATGGTGGTGAATTGACTTCACTCTGTGTTGTGGAAGGACCTCGTGATGATGATGTCGTCTCAAAAGGTATCATTTTTCTTTTTCCTTTTTTTATTCTACAGCATTCATCCATTTCGAGGTATCAAATTCATGTCTCTTCTTTCAGTACGAACTACTCTCAGTACCACATCATCGGAAAGTGGTTTGACCTGGGTAAAGGAAAGAGTGAGTGAAACGCTGGAGCGTATTCGTGGTAGCCCTGCTCCGTCACCTGGACAGACAACAGCGGTTGTTGTCACTGTCGGACGAGGATATAGGTAAAATTCAGCTAGCTTCGCTTAGGATGAGTGATTTTCACTCGATCCTTGTTCCAGAAGCTTGTCACATCGTTTTGTCACTCCGACTCCGCTAAGCAACAGTTACTCGATAGCGATTTGGAGGGCAGAGGAATGGGTATAGGTTGTCGCTAGAGTTCTCATCTTTTTTTTT